GGGGGGGAGATCCAAGAATTACCTTACAAAATTGTACGTGTTTTGGCGCCTTACCCTTTGTCTTTACAGCGCATGTTGCTTATGTTAAAAATACCTCATCCATCATTGGCACAAATAAGGTATCACTTTGTTTGCCTTCATCGAAGACGGTTCTCATAGTTTCACCATATGTTTCCACTGCATCAGGCAACTCCCTGCTCTTGCTAACAGTTCCCCATCCAGAGAGGTTTTGTTCCATGTAAAACAAAGTACATCATTGGCTGTCTTGGCACTATGCCGAAACAGCCTTTGTTTTCGTTAAGATTTTATTTTTATTTTTTTGGCTTTTCTGCTGAACAGTGGAAAAGCCTTTGTTTTTGTTCTGATGTTCAGCGGAAAAGCCTTTGTTTTTGTTCTGATTTTTTTTCTTCTTCTTTTTGATCTTTTTGGGTCCACCCCAAATCCCAGTGACTTTGTACACGTTTTTGGTACCCGCCACTTTTGACCTAAAACAAAGTCCTTTTCCAATGAAACTATCTCAGGTAAAGACCCTATAGTGAAGTTGTGTCTCGAAGAGTGACGTCATGATTACGTCATCATGGGTCACGTGACGTCATCACAAACGTGCATATTTGGAAGCCCTATACCTACAAAACAGCAAGTCCAATGGGGTTGAAACTCGGTATGTTGGTAAACCGGGATGTGTTATAGGTAAAAATTGAGGTGACGTCACGATGACGTCATCATGCGATTTAATATAATTTTTTTAATTTTTGGAGCTTTAAGCCATATCTTACGAATGCAACATGCAAAATTGAAAATTCTTGCTGTATTATGTTTGTTAGGTAATACGTGTTTGCCAAAATTTTAGAAAAAAACTGTGACGTCACGATGACGTCATCAAAAATGCCATTTTTGAAAACACATAAGGGAAGGCCCAATCGTCATGAAACTTGGTGCAAAATCTGAAATGACGTCACCATGACGTCATCGGTTGATGTTTTATGATTTGTTAAATATTTAAAATTTTATTGCATTTACAAAATTTTACACTTTGTTTCATTGGATTAACGTCAAAATGGTGCACATCAAGACTAAAATAAAAAATATGTGGACTGACAGGTATTGTTATGATGACATCATCATGGGACACGTGGCGTCATCACAAACATGCATATTTTAAGTCCTATTTCTACAGAACAGTAAGTCCGATTGGGTTGAAACTCGGTGTGTCGGTAGACTGCGATGTGTTATAGGTAAAAATTGAGGTGATGTCATGATGACGTAATCGTGCGATTTTATATGAATTTTTGAATTTTTTGGACCTTTAAGCCGTATCTCACGAACGCAACATGAAAAATTCAAAATTCCTTTTTTATTTTGTTTGTTAGGTAATAGGTATATATACACATTTGTTTATATTTGTGACGTCACGATGACGTTATCAAAAACGCGAATTTCCAAAACACATATAACAGAAGTTCCCATCCTCATGAAACATTGTGGATAGGTAGATAATGTCACAAGTATGCAAAATTTGAAATGACGTCATCATGACATTATCGGTTGATATTTTTATGATTTTTAAATTTTTTAAGATTCTATTCCGCTAACAAAATGTTACACTTTCTTTCATTGGATTTATGGTGGCGTTACGATGACGTCATTGCGGGACATGTGACGTCATTTTAAAAGGTGTAAATTTTGAAGTCCTTTACATGTATGTGAAGAATTTAGTCCTCTAACTACGGTATCTAATTGCATATGGACAAAACACCCCCCCCCCAAAAAAAAAATACGAAAAAGCCCTATGTTCTGTTCATCGAACAGACATAGCTCTAGTTGGCTGTTTTGGCACTTTGCCGAAACAGCCTTTGTTTTCGTTTAGATTGACTTTATACTTGGCACACACTTAGACCAACATCTGAAGTTGTGTGCCGAACATTGACATCATGGTGACGTCATCAACTAATTTATTATAGAATTTTGAATATTTAATTTTTCCCATAGACTTTGTACACAGAAATCGAAAAAAGATTGTCGATTTTCAAAGGGCATTTTTGACTCTTTGCCAGTAATTCATTTGCACCAATCTTTGTCCTAGCAAAGACCCTAAGTCAAACAACATTGTGTAATGATGATGTCATGATGACGTCATCGGGTGTGTATTTATAGGCAATTAAATTGTGACACTTTTAATATTTAAAAATGCATAAGAAATCAACCGTACGCGTCCGCAGCATTCTGTTACCGGCAAGTGGTAGAGTATGTTGAGGTCTTTATTTTATTCAGTGTGCGTGAAATCACATGACCCTTGCTTCCGGTCGAAAAAGGCCAAAACCGGAAGTGGCTTATTATTTAAAAATGGTAATAGATATGAACTTGCTTTTAACGGTGTTAGTCTCTTGGCTAAAAGTATTCTTCAAATCATCTACCAATGACGTCATGCAATCTTCAAGCGCCCTCTAGCGACAGGTTGAAAATTTGCAAAAATTAATTTTGAATAGATGTCTGTGGCGAAGTTTGTTGGTTCGTGCATGGGCATAGTCAGGGACGTATAATAAAAAATTATAATGCCGAAAAGCCCTATGTTACGTATTTAAAGGTGCAGTTTTTCCTGCAGTGGGATTTTCCACAAGTCTTTTCCTATACAACAATGATATCTTACTGAGTAGTTCTGAACATCAGCCGAGAATTACTATGAGAGGGAAAGAGAAATCGTATTTTTTCGCGCTGTCATTCGATTGAACATATTCCCAAGGGTCAGAATATCAAGTAATATTTCATAAAAATGTTTCAGTTCAAAGGCAAATTACAATTTTAAAGGTGCAATTTTTCTGCAGTGGGATTTTTTTTAGCCCATTAACTTTGTACACGTGTTAGCCCATTGACTTTGTACACGTTTTCAAGCCACCATTTCTATAACTTGGCGATCTGGAATCGTCATCAATGTTACAGCCAAGGAGGACCCTCATACAAAAATTATGCCAAGACTATGACGTCATGATGACGTCATTACCTAATTTTTTTTATTGATTTTTGAAAATTTACGTGCATATTATGAAGTCCTATGTCTACAGAACTGTAAGTCTGATTGGGTTGAAACTTGGTATGTGGCTAGACCGGGATGTGTTATAGGTAAAAAACAATTTTGGTGGTCGAGACCTGAACATGATTTTTGCGGGAATTGATAGAATTATCGAGTGTCTTCATTTTTTAAATATGTGCAAATAAATCACGTGACCCTTTCTTCTGGTTGAAAGCGGAAGTGCTTTGTAATTTAAAATTGGTGAAAGACGCGAACTTGCTTTAAACGATGTTTGCTCTGGCTAAGTTGTTCTTTACCATAATATTATAGTAATAGATGAAACTTTATGTGACGTCATCATGACGTCATCACGTGACATGTAACGTCATAATTCAAAGCCCTATGCGAATGGAATCACATATTATATGCCACCATTTATTATAAACAGAACTACACATCCTTCGTTGATGGAACACATGTCACATGTCACAAAAAGCTACCGAAACAGCCCTATGTTTGTCCACAAACATATGTCTAGTTTTGGGTTTTTTTCCAGTCATTTTGCCCATAGCATTTGTACACGTTTTTTTGTTACCGGCACTTTGAGCACTAAAATCAATCCGATTGACTTTATACTTGGCACACACTATAAGACCAGCATCTGAAGTTGTGTGCCGAACATTGACATCATCGTGACGTCATCATGAGTCACGTGACGTCACATTATATGCGATTATTCTGTTGTGACCATTTTCTAGCAGAATTCGGCTAGATCTGACAGATTGGGCTATATCTCCAGACCTACAGGTCTGATTGGGTTGAAAGTTGGTATGTACCTAAACCGGAATGTGTTACAGATGAAAATTTAAGTGACGTCACGATGACGTCATCACGTGACATGTGAGGTCACAAAATAGGTGCATACTTTGAAGGCCTATATCTCCGTGACTACAGGTCCGATTGGGTTGAAACTTGGTATGTACCTAAACCGGGATGTTTTATAGATGAAAATTTAAGTGACGTTACGATGACGTCATCACGTGACATGTGACGTCGTCACGTGGCATGTGACGTCATATTCAAAATTGCTTATTTTGAAGGCCAATATCTACAGAACTACAGGTCTGATTGGGTTGAAACTTGGTATGCACCTAAACTGGAATGTGTTTTAGATGGAAATTTAAGTGACGTCATGATGACGTCATCACTTGACAAGTGACCTTATATCAAATGTGCATATTTTCAAGGCCCATATCTACAGAACTACAGATCTGATTTGGTTGAAACTCGGTACGTACTTAAACCGGAATGTGTTATAGATGAAAATTGAAGTGACGTCATGATGACGTCATCACGTGACATGTGACGTCGTCACGTGGCATGTGACGTCATATTCAAAATTGCTTATTTTGAAGGCCAATATCTACAGAACTACAGGTCTGATTGGGTTGAAACTTGGTATGCACCTAAACTGGGATGTGTTTTAGATGGAAATTTAAGTGACGTCATGATGACGTCATCACATGACATGTGACCTTATATCAAATGTGCATATTTTGAAGGCCAATATCTACAGAACCACTGGTCCGATTGGATTGAAAGTTAGTATGTACCTAGACCGGGATGTGTTATAGATGAAAATTGAAGCGACGTCATGATGACGTCATCATGGGTTACGTGACGTTTCGTTAAATATTAATAGTTTTAATCTATAAAAATCAATATAAAATCAACCGTGAGAGACTTGAACATGATTCTTTTCGGGAATTGATAGAATTATCGAGGGTCTTCATTTTTTAAATATTTGTCATTTAAAATTGGTGAAAGATGTGAACTTGCTTTCAACGAGGTATGCTCTGGCTAAGTTGTTCTTTACCATAATATTATATGATGAAACTTTATGTGACGTCATCATGACGTCATCACGTGACATGTGACGTGAATGGAATCACATATTATATTCCACCATTTATTATAAACAGAACTACACATCCTTGGTTGATGGAACACATGTAACATGTCACAAAAAGCTTTCAAAACAGCCCTGTGTTTGTCCACATAAGTCTAGTTATCCATTGATTTTGCCTTACACATCAAGATTAATACATTAACTAAAACTATCAATCATGGTCCCACACGAGTATCAAGCTGTAATTGCATGCATATTTGGAATTTAAAAATTTAGTTTTGTTTGTTTGGCCCGCCATATGCGGGCTCTAATTTGCATAATCTGCATTCCTTGTGGGCTTAAGACCGCACCCATACCATGTTTTTGATTGTCCAAGTTATTCAAGCGTATCTCTATGTAAATGAAGCGCTTTCTCAGCCTCCCCATTCAGGTGAACTCACACACACACACACACACCGAGTACGTATATCCTGCATCCTTGCTCAATTCTGACTTGACTTGGTGCTTTTCTGAACTGACTAGATCTATACTTGCCTTGTTCTAAGTTATGTCTACTTCAAGTGACAATGTTCAAACTGAAATTTTTGACAAATTCAAAGATTATTTCGACGCTAAGTTCAGCGCGATTTCCAAGCCAGTAGATGACTCCACTGCTTTGGAAGAACTGAAACTCAAGTTGGAGGCAAAGGATCTTTCTAGACCGGGCAACATCGCTTCGTTTGAGTTTTTTTTCGACAGTTGGAGATTCTACTATACAAAATTCAAACCGCTCTAACAACCGAAAATAACACCGAAGCAGTTTTACAAGCTGAGTCAAGAAGGTCCTAGACCTCCTCGCCGACAGAAAGCAAAAAATTCGAATTGCCGACTCCAAGCAAGGCTGGCTGGGGAACTATTTCCCACCTGGACAAGAGAAACGCCGATAAGTTGTCCGCCGAGCAACACAAGAAGGTTTTGGCCGCCAAGGAAGCCGCCCTGTCCTTGCTCTATGCCCTGAAAGGACATCGAGACGCGTAAGCGTCGACGAAATGAATCTCCGCAACTCCAGCAGAGTGGTTCGAATTCGAAGCCAGCATTCGGACATCCTGATCGTTATCTTTTTCGAGGTATTGTAAATGAGTTGTTCCATTCCCCACCTAATTCTTTGTCAAATTTCATTAGCTGTTTGTGATCCCACCATTAGCCCATGCTACAAATAAATAATTAGAAACAATCCAATTGCCTCCGTTTCCTTATTATGGCGGTCCATTAATACTAAACTGCTTTTCATGCGTATGAGCGAAGCGAAGTAGCATGAAAATTTAGTTTTGTTTGTTTGGCCCGCCATATGCGGGCTCTTATTTACATTCCTTGTGGGCTTTAAGACCGCACCCATAACATGTGTTTGATTGTCCAAGTTATTCAAGCGTATCTCTATATAAATGAAGCGCTTTCTCAGCCTCCCCATTCAGGTGAACTCACACACACCGAGTACGTATATGGGTGTTTACATAAATGTGGAGGCCAGTGTGTGATATTAGGGTCAAATTTTCAAAATAACCAAATTAAATTCAGCTTCACATGGTTTTGCAGTCTAGGGTCTATATTTTGTCAAAAACAAAACCATTTTTCTGTAACATGACCCTTTTTAGAGTAGCAACATGATAAACTAGCATATGGGACACAAATTTCACCTGTAACAGTGACACCAAATTGTTAATTTCTTTTAGAGCTCTCACCAGGTTATTGTTCAGGTATGGTAAAGACATGTTGCTTTTTAAGCAATTATTTGCAACACATATAAGTTAAAAAAAAACTTTAACACTATCCTTGTTCAACATATCAAGTTTTAGGAAATTTGACATATTATGATGATTTCAAAAATGTAGCTCTCACTTGACATAAAATTATATTATTTTAAGACGAACACTCACTTGTTCTCTAAAAGCAAGTTTGACAGCCAAAACTGCAACTATGAAGAGCAATGAAGATTTACAAACACCACTAGAAAGCATGTTATTGTAAGTCAAACAGGTGCTTTTGCTTCATTGTTTCAGCTGAAAAGAGGTATTTCACCTGTAACGGAGTCAGTGTTGACACCAATCCTTTATTGCCTCTTATTTCAAATTCTAAGAGAAGGATTCAAAATGTAATGACAACTATATTCCAAGCCAATCTCCAGGATATATTTTTAGTTAAACTTGTTGACAAATACAGTTTTGACAAATTCAGAGTGCAGCTGCAAAGTATCACACTGTAACGTTTTTTGATGACACCAAATTGATCTGTCAATATTTAAAATTAATATATTTCTTGTACTTCTTTGAATTTCACTTTTGGTCTTCCTTAGTCTCTTTATTTAATAAAAGACTTCAATAATCACTTAAAATTTAGAATAGTTGAAAGTTTCTACAAATATTATAATCAATGGTAAAGTTCACTCTGTAACAGGATTTGCTGACACCAAATGTTACAGAGTGATGGTATTTTAAGCGGGCATGTCAAAATGATACAAAGTTGCCGATGCACGAACATTGTGTTTAATATTAAGTTTTGGGTTATCATCAATCATTTAGAATTAAAAAGGACCAAATTTATCAATTGAAAGAATGAAAACTGTGCACCATTGAACAAGCTGTAAAAATGTCAAGCAATTTTACCTAAAAATGTCATAATTCTGGCTAATTTTTGATCAAAATGATACAAATGCATTGTGGTGATTTAAGTTTTTTTAATTTCAGTGGTACCCACTGAAATGTGATATGGGCAATAAAGTAAAAGCACAAATATTAGCAAGTTGGTTATTTTAACATGGAAATGGCCCTTGAAAGGAAAGAACATGTGCATCAATACCACTGGCCTCCACATTTATGTAAACACCCACATCCTGCATCCTTGCGCAATTCTAACTTGACTTGGTGCCCTCCCGCCCTCCCGATCCCCAGGCAAAGTGTATAATGTACATATAATTATTTTTAATTTTTGGTATGTTTTGTGGCCGCTCCTTTTCTCTCTCGTTCCGAATTTTGTTTTCAGGCATGTCGTCTTTTGAGTCGTGCTTCTCCTGCGGAATGTCGGGCCATTGGTCCAGAAATTGCCCCTATTCCTTTGGATCCAACACCTACTAGCGCTTCCGGACCCAGGCAAGATCCACTCCAGCCGTCCCTTTCAGGGAGGAACAGACCACCTTTCTCGTCATGGCACGCCACATCTTACCAGATGCAGAGAGCATTGCCTCAAGCAAGCCAGCATGGAACCGCCTCGACAGGGCCGTTTGATACCGCCAGTACTAGCAACACCTCAACATTGCCCAAGGCACAGAAGAGACAACGTTTGCAAGACGTTTGATGACGTTCTTAAGGTACATTGTTTCCCCCAAATAGCACCCTTACAGTCTGATAATTTACCAGTCAAAGGGAGATTAAAACAACATGTTCAATTCTGGCGTGATATCGGTTCCCCTGACATGATTTGTGTCTATCATTGAGTATGGTTATGTAATCCCTTTCATAGGGGGTTAGATGTTAGATGTTTCTCCGGAATAATAAGTCGGCCTTACGCGAGGCCCATTTGTAACAAATTCCATTTTAGATTTGCTGGCTTCATCCCGAATTTCAGAAAAGTCTCTCCCTTCCTATGTAACCAGTCCCTTATCTGTCGCATGTTCGGCTTCCAAGAAAAATAGACTTATTCTTGATCTTAGTGCCCTCAACAAATTCATACCAAAAAGGCACTTTAAATTAGATGATTGGAAGTCGGCTATTCAATTTCTCTCGGCAAATGCTCTCATGATATCTTTTGACTTGAAATCGGGTTATCATCATTTCGACATCGCCCCTGCTTCTCAACGTTATTAGGATTTTCTTGGCGCATTAACGGGGTGGACAGATATTACGAATTTACTGTCTTGCCCTTCGGGCTCACATCTGCCCTTACATATTCACCAAAGCTCTCAAACCATTGGTCACTCATTGGAGGTCATTTTAATAGCTCTCTACTTGGATGATGGTTTTGTTGTTATCCCTCGCCCTAAGCAATCCTCAGAACACGACCGGATCGCGTTAGGTGTCGCTTACCATATTCGTTCTGATCTTCTAGAAGCAGGATTCGTTTACAACATTTCCAAGAGTAATTGGAATCCTGTCCTTACTATCGACTGGCTGGGTATGAGATGGGATACCGCGCAGGGTACTCTTAAGGAACTTGATCATAGGATTGATAAAATTAAGAGATCCATAGAACTACTTTTACAGCAACCTTCACTTCTCACAATCAGGGACTTGCATTCATTCGTAGGTCAAATTATTTCGTTGTCACCTGTTGTAGGTAGTATCACGAGATTTAATGACTCGTCATTGTCAGATTGACAATCGCAGCCGCTTTCGATGAAAGTGATCCAGTCGTTCCTACAAATATCTGTTTGTCTGAAGTTAAGTTTTGGAGAGATAATGCCCCAAAATTGAATGTTCGTTTTGTTTTTGCTCACCGAGTTGTGAACAAGATCATTTGCTCAGACACCAGTTCCACCGGTGCAGGTGCTATAATTTGTAACAGCCCACAAATCGTGGAACGATTACAAAATCAGTACAAAGTTCCACTTTGCGCGAGCTTGAAGCTGTTCGTTTGGCTCTGTTGTCCTTTCTACCTCATGCCTCCTAGTTTTTAGTGTCATCCACCCTTAAACACATGCATCATTGCCAATGTAAAGGGGTCCTTATTTTTCCTTGGTGGCCTTCGCAACCCCCCTGACCTTTACCAAAATCCAAAACCGACGTTTTCAGGGACGGTAGAACTGCCTTTCTTTGCGATACATTGGACAACTACTCACCTGTTGCGATTTTACGTCGATTTTTAGAAGCTGCTGGTATTAATTTGGGTCAAGACAAATATTTGTTCACTCCTGTTAGATATTTGTCCGGTACGAAAACGTAAAAAATTGGTGCTGATTGATCCTTAAGTTACACTAGGTGTAGAGAGTTTTTTTTTGAAGTCCTTAGGCGCATAGGTGTAAGCGATCCAAAGGTATATGGTCTTCACAGTCTAAGATCAGGCGGGGCTTCCCACCTAGCTAACAAACATGTTCCTGAAGCATTGATAATGCAACATGGTCGCTGGAAGACCTCCGAGGCTAAAAACGGATACGTCAAATGGAATACCAAAGAAAGATAAGACCTGTCACAGACACTTTTCAAAGAGTAATTGTCGAATATGTCAAACCTGGTTATACAATGTATACAATATTCTATACGTTCTTTGGGGGTTTTCTTTTTTGGTTGTGTGTAATAATTTGCATTAAATTTTCTATTGATAGTCAGCAGTACTTATTAAAATTAGGTGAGATTTTTGTATTAACAAGTATCAGGATCAGATGATCCGAAACGGTCAGGTGACCGGTCCAGTATATGAGTTTTATTTATGATTAGAGAGTCAGCAGTAATTAATTTAAATTCATTGAAATTCTGCATTAACGAAGTAAGGATCAGATGATCTGATACGGTCAGATGACCGGTAAAGTGTATTTAAAAATGATGACCTGGAGTTTGCTTAACATCAGCGAATCAAGTTGGTGATGAGTGGTTCAGGAGGATCACATATCCAATATGGACAATTAAGATGAACAGTTAAATGTATAATTCAAATTCATGGCCAGAATTTCATGTCTATCATAAGTGGCATCTCAAAAAAGAAGAAGAAGAAGAAGAAGAAGTAAGACTATCAGTGAAAACTCGGTGTTTGTGATCCCACCATTAATCCATGCTGCAAATAAATAATTAGAAACAAATCCAATTGCCTCCGTTTCCTTATTATGGCGGTCCATTAATACTAAACTGCTTTTCAAGCGTATGAGCAAAGCGAAGTAGCATGAAATGCTGATTTCCTCAGATACAGTGCGAGTCAAAAAGAAGATGAACGAAATAGACAAAATAATTCCAAATAAAGGGTCTCGCTCCATTTCATAATAGAGCAAAGGCAAAAAGTACATGTTTATTGACTGGTAACTGTGAAACTCTCACGGAAGTTGCGAATAGATTACGGAATTCAACTATCCATCACTGATCATTTACCGTTTGAATTTTAAAATGTATAGGATTAAAATCTCTTTGTAATTTGAATGCTTGTTTGTTAAATCTGTAATTCTCACTTTGCTCAATAGTTTCCGATGGCATTCCATGGACAGATGTCGTTACGGAGTACGTGACGGGTTACACTGGCTTTTGACTCCGGTTACGAGAAAAGAATCAAGAAAGCAGAAAGGTCGGCCGCCTCCTAAGAAGGGATCCCAGTGTCAGCAGATCATATTCAACCAAAACAGATGTGGCCACTAAATTAGCAACAGTTTTTTCGTCCCACTGGGGGTCCCTTATCACGACAACCGCATCTCCTTCCAATGCGGTACCCAAGGTCACTTTGCAAACAACATTTCAATCGCTTCGAGCACCACAAACAGGACTACAAGCATCCACACACCCAAAAAGCCGTGGAGACTGGGAAGCACAAGGTAGATTGAAACAATGTATTTCCTTTTAGATAAATGTTTTGAAGGCCAGCCTTTTTTATGGATGTTTTGGATTCAGGATATAAGATCCCGAGCAACTGAGCAATATATCCATCTTATTTTAGAAAATACTTTTGAAAATGCTCTCCCTAGAGTTTGTACACAACCGTTTGAATCTTGCATTCTTTCCGCGAACAAAAAAAAGACTGTGTTTGGGGTATTGCAACAACAAGTTTGCAATTTGTTCAAAAGACCAAATTCATGTACATTTCAAGTTGTAATTAGGAACAATTTTTACTGTAGTTTCGATCTTAGATTAAAAGTGCTGATTTACCCATCAAATGAACAGCTGTAAAAAAAAAAATGGTTCTTCTCTAAAAAAAAAAATGCATGTTTTCTGATAGAATGGATGAATTTCAGTAATTTGTTCACATGAATTTCCACTCGTGAAAAAAAAAAACACAACACGCCCCTTGTAAGGACAAAACGGTAATAATGTGTACGAATTTATGCAATGTATGACAAATTATACCGAAAACAGTTGAACCTTTGTATGCGTGCACGTTGCGGTTCACACTTACCTGTGTGTACCGAATGCAACTTTTTTTTCGGTAGCACTTGTCATAAATTGCATCATTTTGTAAATATTATCACTGTTTTCAGCCAAAGAAAGGGTATGGCTAAGGAATTTCTGTAATTGATCAGTCGTTATTGGAGCAAGATGTGCCCAGTAAATTCTAAGTTAGGCAACTAAAGTTGCGGGTAACACCATGTGTGGTTCTGTAAAGAACCGATTGGTGAGTGTAGAGCTCGACGTTTCGGACAGCGTGCTTATGGACAACCGGTTCTCTTCCAACACGAAATTACTTTCCACATGGTGTTACCCGCAATTTTTTTTACTTCAACATTCGCATTCGGTGCATTCCATTGGTTGACCACTTGTTCTAATAGTCCTTGGGACGAGAGCCCGAAAACGCTTTAGTTTTCGAGATACGCGATCTGTTCCGCCGAATTTCATAAAACTTTCCACACATAGTTTATGATGTACCATATCGAAATAACTTTGTTCCCCGATCCACACTTTGTTTGAGAATGAGAAAATCTGGGATAAAAACGCCGGAAATTCTGCATGAGAAAACAATAAGAAACCTTCTCGCACGCAATGAGTGCTTGCAAGTTTTTTCCTATTTTAAAACGTTAATCGTTTATTTTTAATATTCAAATTCGTGCATGAACATCGATTTAGTGCACTTCAATGTATAACTTTGTCTGTTGTCGGACAATTTCAAATTCAGTTCAAGCAAATTCAAACGATTGGACACCGTTTTCGTCACTGAGTATCCACTTTCGTCTCGTCTACGCCAAAACCTTGGTCATTCAGAAATTAAATTCGTGTAATTGATTTACATTATATAAGACGAATTCGATCACTGAATGCTGCCATTCGGCAACAGCTTAGACGAATTTGATCTGTAATGACAAATATTCTCGACCCGGTGACCTATAAAGAGGTGTGAAATTTTTCTCGGGCGAGTTCGTTAGAGTTCGTGAATGTGAATGAAAAATGTTGTACAATAGCCGTCAAAATCTATACTTCTTTCAAATCTATACTTCTTTCAACTTTCATAACACATTGCATATTCTTGTTTGTGTTATTATTTGTTATCACGATGCCAAACCCTTTTTATTACAGTTTGTCCAACTTAAAATGATCAATGCACTGGAAGTTTTATGATCAAATGTTATGTATAAGCCACATAAAAATTGATTAGTATACAAATATTGAGTGGCTCAGCGTGGAATGGGAGGAATATTATCGCTCGGTAAAATCTGGACTTTTCCATTTCACGAGGCGAAGCCGAGTGAACTGGAAAAGTCCAGATTTTACCGAGCGATAATATTCCTCCCATTTCAAAATTTAAAGCTACTCAATATTTGTTTTATTATATGACTGACATATAGATCCTTTTCATTTGATATATTTGAATTTTTTTTTCAATACTTTTTAAAACTAAAGGAAAATCTATTTCTCTCTTCCAAACCGCACCCCTTCACGAAAATGTTTGAACGTAACGCTGTAGCGCTGGCTCTTGGGAACAATACGTGCTACGCGCAACGCTGAACGCGCACACAAGCATTCATTTGCACACAAATACCGCGTCACGATCATGATCCTAACTGTTTAATAGTATTTCCCATTCCCCATGGGCGGATGTACTTTTTGAGCCGCGGCGTGAATGGGAGCAATAACGAATGTCGTGTGATGTGAGTTCCACCAATCAATTGACTAAGATCTGTGTGTCAGTTCCTGTATGTCAGTAATCTGTATGTATAATATAGTTTAACAGTATTACACCCAGATTAGAATCTCAGGGTAACATCTCTCAGTTCTTCCCCCCCCCCACTTTTTTTTTGGGGGGGGGGGGGGGGTTTTGTCGAAAATCCACAAGTGAAATTTTTAAACAGACTTTCACCCTTTTCAATAGCAGTGATGCAGAATTTTAAAAGCGATTATATACACATGTATATCGGATAAGTTGAAGCGTCTTATTACAAAACCACTCAAAAATTACATCTCATGTTCCCATACATTACATGTACTTAGGTTGATTTGTATTTTTGATTACACTTTTATAAAAAAACAAATGACTCGGAAATGAAAAAAAAACCGGCAATAACTTCAAATACTTATGTTTTTTCTCTCATGTGGGATTTTCAACATTTTTAGGCCAGATTTTCTCATTCCCAAACAAAGTGTGAATCGGGGAACAAAGTTTTTTTTCGATATGGTACACAATTAATCTACATGTCTGTGAAGTTTTATAACATTCGACGAACCAGACCGGCGTGGCGAGCGAAAAAAAAAGGCCTCGTCCCGCAGACTATAAAGCCCACAGCCGAAATAGTTTGGACGTAATATTAAAATTTACTCGACTTTCAATAAAGTTAAGCCGAAACGCTTTTGAATCCCGCCGCCACTACCTTGGCTGCCATGTTTTCGCATTGTAATTGTGGGATACAATGAGCAGTGCGTTCGATTAGTTCCCCCGAGGAAAATGTTTCACCTGATATCGTATCTCGGAAAGACATCTTTCGCTCTTATCGTATTTCCGTCGGACTTCCCTGATACTTCAATCTTGTATTGTGAGATCGCAAAACCAAGAACCAAACACATATGGAGCGCCGTTTATCAAATACTTCTTAAGCCAATCTTAAGCATGTTTTTACCATGGGTAAGCTCTATTCTTAGGTCTCGTCAATTTCAAGGTCTCGACTAAAAAAAACTCGGTCTTGGTCTTGATCTCTGAGTAAACGTCTCGCGATCTAGTGAGGTCTCGAGCATTAATTGTTTAGGTTAAAATGGTTTGTAAACAATAAGCGTTACAAGTTTTCATGGTTTGAAAATCATGAATTTGCACACCTTGCCAGTTTCTATTATTTGTAAACAATGACTCCATGGTTTGTAAATCATAACGTTGATAACATAGAGTGTTTTAATGGTTTGTAAACACTAAAACGTTCTGATTACAAATCTATTGTTCACAATACAATTGAGCTTAACTATGGTAAAAACATGCTTAAAATTGGCTTAAAATTTGACAAACGGCGCTCCATATGTGTTCGGTTCTTGGTCTTACGATCTCACAATGCAAGATTGGAGTATCGGGGGAGTCAGACGGAAATACGATAAGAGCGAAAGATGTCTTTCCGAGGTGATGCCAGGGAAAGACGCCTTTCCGAGATACAACATCAGAGAAAGACGTCTTTGTGAAATACCAGTATGAGAGAAAGATATCTGTCCGAGATACTGACTTCCAATCTCATAATATAGCACTTAAATGTAACTGGGTATTTAAATTGTTAAACAATAAGATTGGGAAATGGAAAATCCTTTGCAATTTATTTTTAAACTCGTGTTGCCCAGACCTTTCAGTCCTCAATATGAATTTTTAAAAAGCAAAGTGCTGTTCAAGTATTACATTAAACCTTCCACAATTTTATAAAGAGTTAATATTTTTTTATTCGCAGGAACTAAACTCAACAAAGACTGTACAAATTGATTTACAGCCAACTAATATGAAAGCACAAATATTGTGGGGTAATAACTATATAAAGTATAAAAACAAGCCATTGTATTTAAGCAACTGGATTAAATCCAACATCATTTACGTTAATGACCTTCTGACCGAAAATGGTGAATTGTCAATTGAGTATATCAGAGACAAACTAATTAAGAAACATAACTGGTTAGCAGAAATGTACACTTTAAAGAATGGTTAACAACCCTAGCAAATAATTTAAACAAAACTCCCTTTGGAAAGGCAGGTTCAAAGGGTGCTTTAAGCAGTTTAGAAAATATTACAATTAAAGAAATATACAAGGTTTTAATTGACGAAAAGAGTAAAACGCCAGTTGGTCACAAGCGCTGGGAAGATATACTAAATGAAGAAATACAGTGAAATTCTGTGTGGAAACACAAAATTGTAAATATAAAAAGAAGCTAAGTTAAGAAACTTTAATTACAAATTTCTACACCGCATACTACCAACCAAAAACTTATTGTATAAATGGAAAATTGTAAATAATCCGTTGTATTGTTTATGTAACGAGATTGATGATTACAATCATAGTTTCGTGATATGTGTACATGTACATACATTAAACTTTTGGAATGAATTTGCTCAGTATTACCAAGCGATAACAAAACATTATTTTGAATTGCCAAAAATGTTTAATTTAGTAACAAGCCTTGATTTCGAATTTGAAATAAATTTGATTATAACAATAGCAATTTATTCCATGTTCAAAGTAAGATTAAAGACATATCAAGACGATAAGTGGATCAACACCTTTGACACTTTCATTCGAGAACTTTAATTACAGAACAAAAACAAAGTCTTATGGAATAAGTTTTTGTTATTACATGTTATTTTAATTTAATATAATGTAATGTAATATAATGTAACTATGTATTAAGTACGTATGTTTTTCTAAAAAATGTAAACAATGTTGCGAGAAATAAAAGCGCTAGACGCAATAAATGATAAAAAAAAAAAGAGATACTATCGTATCTCGGACAAAATTTCTTTTTTTTTTTTTTTTTTCCAGGGTAACACGTCATAAATATCTGTTTAATCCATCTTTCCGAGATAAATTATCAAACTTATCAACTTTGACACTTTCATTCGAGAACTTTATTGGAGCTAAATTACAGAAAAAAAAACAGTCTTCTGGAATAAGTTTTTGTAACATGTTATTTTAATTAATGTAATATAATGTAACTATGTATTAAGTACGTATGTTTTTCTAAAAAATGTAAACAATGTTGCGAGAAATAAAAGCGCTAGACGCAATAAATGATAAAAAAAAAAAAAAAATACTATCGTATCTCGGACAGAATTTTTTTTTTTTTTTTTTTTTTCTTCCAGGGTAACACGTCATAAATATTTGTTTAATCCATCTTTCCGAGATAAATTATCAAACTTATCAACTTTGACACTTTCATTCGAGAACTTTATTGGAGAGCTAAATTACAGAAAAAAACAGTCTTCTGGAATAAGTTTTTGTAACATGTTATTTTAATTAATTAAATATAATGTAACTATGTATTAAGTACGTATGTTTTTCTAAAAAATGTAAACAATGTTGCGAGAAATTTTTATTTCTCGCAACATTGCTAGACGCAATAAATGAAAAAAAGAAAAAAAAAAGAGATACTATCGTATCTCGGACAGATTTTTTTTTTTTTTTTCCAGGGTAACACGTCATAAATATCTGTTTAATCTATCTTTCCGAGATAAATTATCAAAGAAACGTGGAAACGTGGATAGTCACTTTAAGCTTCCGCAAAAAAAGTGCAAGTAAACGTGTGTTTGTTACTTAGATAATAAAAGTATTTATATTTTTATATAAAAACCAATATTATTATTAGATAATTTTTTTTTCAAAATAATGTGCAAGAAATGAAATGAAAATGAATGAATAAATAAATAAGAAAAAGAGACTGATGCAAAACTACTCTCTGACTGAATTGATCTCTAATATACAAAATATGTACCTATAATCTAATCAAAATTGTAATAAAATTAAGGCGGCCTAACCGTTATCGATCTTGCATGACCATTGAGAGGTAGGGGGAAAAAATTGCCTGTGAAAATTTTAAGAGCGGTATAATGTCAAGAGGTCTTAAATGCTGAGAAATAAGTGTTCATTTCTGGATACAAAAAAATTATGACATATAGAAAAAAACCTGATACATATTGAATGAAACCGACTTGTATTTGTGGGACACAAAGATATTCAAGTAATCGGCTCAGCGGGCGTAAAAAGACTGGAAAGACATGAAATATAGACATCTAAAATACTACATCAATCTTCACAGGCAAAATAAAAATACGTCATGGGTATCCATCCGTGCAAAGGAACACGTAAATTGAAGCTGTCATCCGAGTACCTTTTTACGATGTCAAAATTAGTATTTAACCCTTTAGTGCCTGAGAGTATTTACCGGCTATTAAAATGAATACAACCGGTTTTGGCTACTGTAGGCTTACTTAATACAAATTTGTAATTTGCATTTTAAATTATGGTAATAAAAATGTTCACATATGTTTAACGAACCCTAGGGATCCAAATCATATATCAAAATATAAAAATCTTGATCAAAGGTGTTCCTTTGTCCACACAGCATCCACTTCAATTCGGTCGTCTAAACCCTAACACAAACTGCGTCGCATTTTTTTTTCGGAAGGATGACGACATCGTAACAAGCAGCTTCAGAGACCGGGCTGCACCGATCTTTGTCCACTTCTGGACAACGGGAACCATTCTGCAGGTGAACGATTGACCTAACTTTAATCTTCTCCTCTCTTCGGAAAACTAGCGTCGGAAAACTAAACAAAACGACATTCCGTTATATTGTTCCTGCTGTCAGCAAATTGCAGCGACGCGTGAAGACACTACCTCGACCATGAAGACAACACAACACGAGTCGCACGAGTTGCACGGGTTTATGGACTAAAGAGGCGACACCCGAAAGTGCCCACGATTTTGAAACTTTCCAAAATGGCAGTCTTCCATACGCGTTGCTGCCCTGCCTGAAATATATTGCTCTTTCTGTTTACTTCCACCACAAAAGCCCTTCAGAAAAAAAGTAACCGACGATTCCTTGACGAAAAAAAACACCAAAAACGTCGTTAGTATTTGCTTCAAGCGGCGCATTGTGCGCTTTAGCGGGTCGCAGTAAACGTTGTAGCTGCATAACCGTCGTTGTGTATCTTTCTTCGTCTTGTTGTGCGTCTTAATGGGCAAGTCGTAACGGACAAATATGGGAATGGACCTATGTGAACGGACCCAAAATAACTTCATGTGAATTTAAAAGGTAATTAATTGTGAAGATCAATGTGACTAATTAGTCAGGTTGTGCACTAGAAAACATTGCAGTGTGTCTGATCGCGTCGTGTCAATAATCTTCATGCTTCGCTGTATGTCTTAACAACAATCTTAATGCGTTTCGGTGAGTGCCTTCATGCGTCGCTGTGAGCGTCTTCACGCGTAGCCGTGTCTTCAAAGGTCGCTGTGTTTGTCTTTATGCGTCGCGCTGTGTGTGCGGTTACTGAACCTCGACGAGTCTTCAAACTTCGCGGTGTGTGCGCCGTGACAACAATCCTCATGCGTCGTCACGCGTCATTGTGAGTGTCTTCACGCGTCGCTGTGAGTGTCTTCAACGGTCGCTGTGAGTGTCGCGGTGTCTTCTATCGTCGCCGTAAGCGTCGTTTAAAGACGCGGTGTATGTCTTTCTGCGTCGCTTTCTGCGTCGCGTGGCAATCAAGATTGCGTTGCGTTAAATGTCTTTAAACGGCGCTGTGTGTCTGAAAGCGTCGTGTCAACAATTTTGCTTTGAGTGGTCGCGGTGAGTGTCTTTCTGCCGAGCGTCGTTAAAAGACGCGGTGTATGTCTTTCTGCGTCGCTTTGTGTGTTTTAAAACGGCGCGCTTTGTTTGAACCCGTCGTGTCAAGAATCCTCATGCGTTGAAGTGAGTATCTTCAACGCGACGCACAAAGGTGCGTCGCGTTGTGTGTTTTAAAACGGCGCGGCGCGGTGTGTCTGAACACGTCGTGTCAAGAATCCTCATGCGTTGAAGTGACTGTTTTCACGCGTCGTTGTGAGTGTCTTCACCCGTCGCGGTGTCTTCACCCGTGGCGGTGACATGTCCTCAAGAGTCGCCGTAAGCGTCGTTCAAAGATGCTTTTTGTTGTTGTCTTTCTCCGTCGCGTTGAGTGTCTTCAAACGGCGTGGTGTGTGTCTTATCGTGTTGTGACGACAATCTTCATGCGTCGCTGTGAGTGTCTTCACACGTCGCTGTGAGTGTCGCTGTGAGTGTCTTCAAGCGTTGTATGTCTTTCTGCGTCGCGTTTTGTCTTAATGTGTCACGTTGAGCGCTTCATACGGCGCGGTGTATGTCTTAACGTGTCGTGACAACAGTCTTCATGCGTTGCGGTTGAGTGTCGTTAAAAGACGCGGTGTATATCTTTCTGCATTGTGTGTGATCATGCGTCGGGCCAAGTGTCTTCAAACGGCGCGGTGTGTGTATGAACGGCGCCGTGTGTGTCCCAACCCGTCGTGACAACAATCTTCATGCATCGCGTTGAGTGTCTTGTCGAGTCGATGTGAGTGTCGCAGTGTCTTCAAGCGTCGCGGCAATCGTCGTTAATGGTCGCTTTGTATGTTTTTCTGCTGAGCGTTGTGTGTGATTATGAGTCGCGGTGAATGTCTTCACGCAACGCTGTAAGGTGTCGCAATGAGTGTATTAACGCGTCGCTGTAAGCGCCGTTCGAGGTCGTTGTGTGTGTCTTTCTGCGTCGCGTTCTGCGTCTTTAATTGTCGCGTTGAGGTGTCTTTACGACTCGATGATGAGTCTTGCAGTGTCTTCAAGCGTCGCGGTAATCGTCGTTAGAGGTCGCTGTGTATGTCGTTCTGCTTCGCGTTGTGTGTCATGCGTCGCGATGAGTGTCTTCAAGGATCGCTGTGAGTGTCGTATTAACGAGTCGAGGTAGTGTCGTTAAAGGTTGCGTGGCATGTATACACATGCATCGTGTTGTCTTCGTTGCGGTAAGCGTTTTTAATAAAGACTAAAGGGTCTGGAACTTCAAAAAAATCAATCGTTTGTCTTTGCCCGAGTCGAACTGGATGAGCTACTTGAGTAGTCTTTAAATTGGCGCGGTGAGTGTCTTTACACGTCGCTGTGAGTGTAGCTGTGAGTATCTTCAACGCGACGCACAAAGGTGCGTCGCGTTGTGTGTTTTAAAACGGCGCGGCGTGGTGTGTCTGAACACGTCGTGTCAAGAATCCTCATGCGTTGAAGTGACTGTTTTCACGCGCCGTTGTGAGTGTCTTCACCCGTCGCGGAGTCTTCACCGGTGGCGGTATGTGTCTTCAGGAGTCGCCGTTAAGCGTCGTTAAAAGACGCGGTGTATGTGTTTCTTCCTCGCGTTTAGTGTCTTGACACGTCGCTGTGAATGTCTTCAAGCGTGGCCGTAAACGTCGTTAAAAGTCTTGGTGTATGTCTTTCTGCGTCGCGTTCTGGTGTCAAATGTGTCGCGTTGAGTGTCTTCATACGGCGCGGTGTGTGTCTTAACGTGTCGTGACAACAGTCTTCATGCATTGCGATGAGGGTCTTCACGCGTCGCTGTGAGCTTCTTCGCGCGAACCTGTCTTTTAAGGTCACTGTGTATGTTTTTCGGCGTCTCATTGTGTGTCTTAATGTGTCGTGTTGAGTTGTCTTCGAACGGCGCGATGGGTGTCCAAAGGCGTCGTGTTGTTTTGTCTTCAATGCTCCGCTGTGTATGTCTTAACGTGTCGTGACAACAGTCTTCATGCGTTGCGGTATATGTCTTTCTGCGTCGCGCTGTGCGTTGAGTATCTTCAAACGGCGCGGTGTATGTCTTAACGTGTCTTGACAACAGTCTTCATGCGTTGCGGTGAGAGTTTCCACGCGTCGCTGTGAGCGTCTTCACGCGTAGCTGTGTCTTCAAAAGGTCGCTGTGTATGTCTTTCTGCGTTGCATGGTGTGTCTTCATGCGTCGTGTTAAGTTGTCTTCAAACGGCGCGATTGGTGTCTAAACGCGTCGTGTTGCTTTGTCTTCAATGCTCCGCTGTGTATGTCTTAACGTGTCGTGACAACAGTCTTCATGTGTTGTGGTGAGTGTCTTTAGCGTCGCTTTGAGCGTCTTCACCCATAACTGTGTCTTTTAAGGTCACCGTGTATGTCTTTCTGCGTCGAGTCTTTCTGCGTCGCGCTGTGTGAGAATTTGCAGAAATTCACCCTTTTCGTCCCCGATATCATAAGATTGAATTTGAAACCCAATGTCGGAAATTCGGAAATTCAATTTTGTGATATCAGGAACGAAAGGGGCGAATTCTGCAACAAATTTTGTGATATCGGGAACGAAAGGGGCGAATTCTGCAACACATTTCGTGATATGGTGAACGAAAGGGGCGAATTCTGGAACTTTTTTTTCTTTTTTATTTATACATTTTTGGACAATATTAATGATGGTCAAGTTAACGACGAGACTTAGTTTTCCCAGGTTATTTCGTTTTGATAAGTGACGTTAACCACTTCGTTTTTGCCCTCCCCAATAATTTGTTAGGAAAATGTTCTCAACTCTTAGGCGAAATACGTGTACATTAAGTAGAAAAATATTATATGGAACAAAGTTAATGCTTTTGTTCCTTCATGCTATTTGTCTACTAAATGTACCTGTATTTGGTCTGGTTTTTGGTCTGTTATCAATAACAAGAAAAAAAAATAACAGAAATATAATACACTCTGTCTAGCCACTGCACCACAGCTGACGGCTGTGATTCAACATACTGCAAATTAGCTACTTGAACCGATTTGGGGGCATCAAAACTTACTTGAAGGTGTAAATGTAAAATGGAAAAAACAATAACACATTACAAATAAGGTGAATGACATTTACAGTTGTGGTTTACATTTATGTAAACAATTGTTTACATAGATGTATATATGTACCACAACCAATAATCTGTTAAATGAATGAAATGAATTAAATGGAAACAAATTAAGCCTTTATATTAAACATTGAATGAGAAATAAAACTTATGAGCTAGTGAGAATTAGAGATATCACAAATTAACGTCACCTGATAAAAAAAAAACGGTGGTCAAAAACTATAATATTGAATGACTAAATAATATTTAATGTGCTCCTTTTTTAAAAAAAAAAAAAAAGCGCTTCACAATTATTACCCCTGTTCATCAGGCCACTAGCACGAGTAAGCGCGGTGGAAGGAAACGAACGCACTGCTTGGGTTTGTGTTATGGAGAACGAGGCATTAGATATGCATGTAAATGGATGTCCTTTGGAGAAAAAAATCGCAGCCCGCCTAGTGTCCATGAGCATCGAAGTGCTGCGTCATTATGGCTGGGTGAAAAAAAGGTACTTTCCTTTACACAATGCTTGTGCTTGTTTGGAAGACATGACGCAAGGAACATTGCAGAGATTGATTGGCTGAACCAGGAAGATGGCAACGTTAATCTGAAATGAAAATGTCAACAAAATAGTTGGACATGAATAAAGAGATGAAAAATTAACTTGGACAGTTTAAGCACAAATGGTTGAAAACTCACTTAAGGGAAAAAAGTCCTGTTAAATCTGATGCACAAAAATCGGCATAGGCGAAAAACAAGGCCTTGTTCACAAAATTACGAAAAAATAATCCATCATTTGGTTCATCTATACTTTAATTGCGTACCAAAAACAACAACAGTATATTTTGAGAACGAAAAGCTCATTATCGCGGGCAAGTGCGCGGCGTTCGGAACTCCAAAAACCAAAGTAGATGTACGTGGATTTAGTTCTACGTGATCGAAACAAATCGAAACCTCACTGTGCGAACATCTGGGCAAATAAATGGGCTAAAAGGAAGACGCCAGTACGTGCGAAAAAAGTGCAGGTGACCATTGTCAGAAATGACAATGGCAATGAATGCATATATTTGAAATATATATTTTCGGCGGCCATGCAAAAAACATTTGGTTAAATGTTTCCATTCGTGTTGAGGTGGAACGAAACGGTCAACTTCCGAAATTATCTTGATCACAATGAGATTTGGTAAAAATAATAAAGAATGAATGAATGAATTTTTATGAAAGCACAACGACGACAACCAATGTTAAAAAGGCGATAAGCACCGAGTTGAGTTCAAGTTGCGGCGGGATAAAAAAGTTTTGTCTTTTCCCTTAGATCAGGAGCCCCAAAAGGGTCGGAAGGAAAGGAGCACCATAGAAATAAAAAAGGGACGCCCTTCCCATAAGGACAAGATATGGCGATAGTAGGGTCCAAGCGAAATGGTGTCACGCATATGAAAGCAAACGAGAAAACCACAAAACATACCTATTAAAGATGTAAGTAATTACATAATAATTCGTAGCCGTAGCTCCGTGCATAGAGCTCCATGTTTGTAGCTCCGTGCTCCGTGGAAGCCCGTTTCAGACACGGCCTGCCGGACGTTGCATGGCCTTATGGGATACTTACCCAAGTAACCGGCTCGGCGAGTCGGTTACTTGGGCTAGGCTCGAGTAAGCGCGAGAAGTCACGTGAGAGGCAAATCGAACGCTGTCGCACTTGCACGAGTAAGCGCCGGGGAAGTAATCGAACGCACTGGTCTTTATGTCCGCAGGCATTTTGGGCCCTGATTTGGTTTTAAAAATGTACTTGAAGTACCCTGTTCATCATTGCGTTCCTGTCCCTTGCTCATAGGTTATTTTGACGTGGTTGTGATTGAAAAGTTCGTTGGGGGATGCTGAACAGAATAGTAGTTGTATCTGCTGTGTGTCTGCTTAAAGGTACCGTCAAAATAAGGACTCCGTGCCCCCCCCCGTTACACCACTGCCGACATTTATCAAGTTTGGCCCCCCCCAAAAAAAATCTTCAATCTTTATTTATTAGCAAAGAGAAAATAGGACGTGTTCTATGGGCGTGAATTATATGCCCAATCATTGTAGAATAGCTTTGATGCATTTGTTGACTCTAAGAACATGGGTTTATTTAGACACCTCGTTTGGACAAGTTCTTGCGGAGATATAGATTGAAGTTCATTTTTAGATAATGGCGCCTGCCGGATGCTAATTTGCATATTAGGCATAAAATACATAAATTAGTCATTGAAAAATGGCGTAAATGAATTTGTTGACCCCTCGATTGATACGTTGGGAAGAAATGTTGCAACCTGACGCCACTTTTTTTTTTCATAAATCATCTCGATGAAGGTCATTCATTGCAAAAATGATGACCACAATCGTGGACTGAGAAACATTCCTAATCACCGACCAACCGATCCCGTTAGCTCGGTGGTCGAGTGGTAAGACATCTGCACTAGAAAGCAGGAGGTTCGAGTCCCACCCGAGTGATTTTTTCCAACTTTCACTCGGGAGGTAACACACTGAGTATAAAGTGTTTAAAACGTCGGTGAAGGGCAAAACCTAATTTGATTTATATCACCCCGGCGCAAAAATTCCATCTTATAATTTTCCCAATTTTCGTTGGGAAATGACTGTCCTCAGACTTTGTACACAATCGCGCGGAAGTGGCGTACCTTTTGTACGGACCCCATTTCACGCCTCCATAGTCAACCCTCCAGACTATGGTTGAAATGTTAACATGGCAAAGCTGAATTTTCCGTTACCGGCAAAGGGCTCCGTCGCGAATACCACGCGGACGGACGCCATTTGAAAATAATGCGCTCAAAGTGTATAAATCTATTTTGTAAAACCCGTATTAATTCCTTAATGGGAATGTACATCATTGGCTTTTGCTGTTATTTTCAGAAATGAACTATTTGAGGGGTTGATATTAAAAAATTCAAACATGTCAGTATAACAATATTTGATCTATTGATCAAATATTGTTACACTGACATGTTTGAATTTTTTTGTTCGAAAATGCTGTAAAAACCAAGAACAACAAAAATCCTCTAAATATAAAATGGGTCAGTTTACAGATGCCGGAAACTGTAAGGTAAGGGAACCAGTCTAGCTGGCCTGCACCCGTTCATGAACAAAATTTGGACTGGAAAAAAAATTAGTAAATTTAAGAGCAATAGTTGAAAAACAGTTAGGTTTTTCCAACGGTGATCGGCCGACCGTTGGAAATTTTTACAAAAATAACATTTTCTTGAAAATGACTTCACACCAGGTGCCACATTTCTACAAGATGCTTTAGACTGTCATTTACCAACATCCTAGTAAGGTATTTCGTAAAAACTTGGTAGTTTTATTTTATGTTTGCAAATGTTGTACAAATATTCCCTTTAATATATAAAGCTATGTATTTATGCTTTGTCACGTAATCCGATCACAATGAGATTTGGTAAAAACAATAAAGAACTACAGGTCAAGGCAGTTGTTGAGTTTACAAACGCAGGGTGGTCGAGCCGACTACTATTTCATTGACACAGCCCAGTTTAGTAATGAATAGTTGTTTTGTGTGTCAGAACAAAGTTTTTTTTTGATGGAATTTATTTTTTTGATATGGTTGGTTTCTTTTATGCTATTCAGAAATTTAAATTTCAGACTTTTGGGGAAATTTACAACTATATGCAGTATTGTACACCTTTTGAACTTTGACGTTGGTCTGACCTTCCCTAGGCCGCCAAAACCGGGCACATCCCTCTTAAATATCTTCTAGCGACCTATACAGTAAAGTGTACCAAACTTTGTGCTTAAATCCGGCGTGTCACGATCTTGCCCAAAATTAGCTCTAAGCCACCGGACTATTGTTGCCAGAGGCAATCATTTTACAACCTCACGCAAAAACGAACACGATAATCTATTAAGTTTTAAAGATACAGCTACAACCATTTTCATCTTTGGACGGAAGTAAAGGTCGAGCGAGTTTTTGTAAAAAAAACAAACAAAAAATATTCATCAATTAATGGTCTATGAGTAGGTGGGGTGTCCAACCTTCAAAACCGTCATTCTTAAGTGTCACACCCCGTGCATTTCGAAGGGAGCACCGCCTAAAAGACCCCCCCCCAAAAAAAATTACCTTTAAATTAGAATATCGCGCACAAGCACGGTTCCAACGCCAAAAGATAGTTTTCGATTAGTAAAATATATCAATGACCGATTACTTAAGAATGAGATATCCCGTGCATAACATGCTTAATAATGGCCTAATTAGCGCTAATTATTGACCGTTAATTATAATTTTGAGCACAAGAGCAAAACCTTCACTAATTAACGTGCTATAATGCAAAATCCAAAACTTAAGAATGGATATTCCCGTGCATTTTGTGCTTAAGAATGAGCTCAGGAATTAATTTTTTTTATGTGTTTAATTAAGAATGAGACATGCGTATCAGACCGCAAAACAACCCCTAAATTCGCGAAATATCGAGTCAGTAATTAAACAAAAATAAGCCCAGTAAACTGTAAAATAACAGAATATTATATAGTTTTGGAATTATAACACATTATTTGTGAATTATGAATGCTTTTTCAAAAACAAATTTCCCCCAGTGCAGTTTGGCCCTCGTTGAATTCCGTATCTTGGCCATCACTTGTCACCCTGTGCAACAAAACCTATGAGACTTGTCTGAACAATTGGGTTGTATGTATAAAAACTAGTAAATGCTAGGAAGTTTAAGCAAAAAGTAAAAGCATTTACTTTGGAGTACAAGCATTAAGGAAAAGCAAATGCTTGATTTCGTATGAATTAAAGTTTTCCTTTACTGTTCAGCATTTACTAGACAACAGGCAGCAAATGCTTCTTACTGTTGGATTGTTTTCATGGACGAATGATTGCCAACAATAGGGTTTCTTTTGTGTGTACGAACTGCCGCACACACACAGGGTTTACACGTGGTGTAATAGTCCAAATCAAGGTGATGCACACAGTACATGTAGTAGTACAAACATTTTGATCCTCAAATCCAGCAAAAATGATGACACTTTTCGGCAGTTGCAGAATACAAAAAGTATACTTTCATCATTCATGAAAATTGTAAAGGTCCACAGTGTCCTGTAGACGTCCTGTAGACGTCTCAATTGCATAAAAAATCACAGACGTGTTAAAGTGGGTAAAATCACACCAACATTCGATAAGATTCGATGAGTTTTGTTTATTGAAATATCAAAAAAAAAAAGTAGTTTGCAAAGATTGGTGACCTAATAAACTAAACAAATGATTTCATTTTGTTCAGTCCCCAGGATGCCGTTGGATAAAGTTTATCTTTAATCATTCCGTGCCGTACTGAATTTTACGCTAACACTTCTCATATCGTGAACAAAATGCGAAATTATCGTTTCTAATTCTAGTAATAAAATACATAATAAAAAAGCATTTAAATTGCGCATAAATGTTAGTCAAAATACAGTGTATGGTATTATATGTAGTTTATTAACGTTTTGTGTCAATTTTGGGGCGATTAATATTAATAAATGCAGCAGTTTTTGCGCAGAAGTATTTGCTTTATATTTTCAAGGTTGCCCCAACCTAGCCTTGAAAAATGACCAGTAAATGCTTGAAATCTGAAG